CTCCCAAAAAAACCCTAAACCCCAAAGCGTGAACCTTGAGCCCTAAGCCCTCAATCCTAAACTAAACCATAAACCATAAACCCGGAACCCTAAACCCGGAACCCTGAACCCTAAACCCTAAACCCAACCCTTATTGCTTGGGGTCCAGCGACTTGGGCGCTGCGGAATCACCATGCTCACGCGGATGCGCTGGGCCGGGCCGAGGCGGGTCGCGTAGCGTTAAAATTACCCCAAAACGAATTCCAAGAAACCCTTGCGGAAGCCCTTTGAATCCCCCCCTCATCGTCCTAGGCCTCCTCTAAGAAGGCAAACGGTGCGCGCAACGAGACCACAAAATCAATAAAAACACAGGGTTTAAGGGTGACTTTTGTACTTGCCCCCGAGAGTATCGGTGCTCTTCCGGCCTTCTTTGGCCTTTTCTGGTCCTCCTCACTGTTTGGGGTCTACGCCGGCATAATATACATATATATCTCGATATATCTCAGAATCGATTTGAAAATTATGCTTTAATTGAAGTCTTTTCGGATGTTACGAAGTTTCTGATAATCTTTCAGATAAATTCTAAAATCAAATGGAGGACACTGGTTTGTCATACTGCATCTTTGCCAAGATCTGCGCCATGTGGGGGTGGTCCCAACCCTCGTGCCAAAGCAGTGCGCCATAAACCTGGCAGGATCAACACGGCGTGGTTGGATCCAATTTCATGTGGACTGAAAAGTTTCGATATACCGGAAGGATGGAACCCTCAGAGTTTGAGCTGAGGCACGAGGAGTCCTCTCCGAAGAGACTGTTGCGGACAAGCAGCCGCCATCCTCAGATCGAAGTGATTGGGGATTCTGTGTGAGCTCACGGTTGAATGTAGATCAGCCTAAGTCCCTGAGTTATCGTAAAGTTGAGCCAAGTGATCAATGACATGTGAGCTGTGGCTCTGTCCAGGCTGCTGGCCAAGTGGCTGAAAGAGCTGTTCGGGAGAGGAGCTGGCTGCCGCGCAGAGAACCGCATCAGCAACCTCTGCCAAGCGCATTTGTGTGCACAGGCTGCCGCCAGTGTCTGCGAGGTGCGATACATGCAGTGGGTGACGAGGGCGTGCACGAGCACGGAAGAGAGAGAGAGAGAGAGAGAGACAAAGAGAAAGAGAAAGAGAAAGAGAAAGAGAAAGAGAAGGAGCGCGGCAGCTCAAGCAAGCCCCTGGCACGGCCAAAAACATTCTCAACTTCCAAGCACTGAGGACTCATGCCATAGCCGCTGGAAGGAAACTAGAGGACTCTTCGCTTTTCTGCAATGTTGTTTGAATTCGTGCTTTTGCCGTCGCGTTGGTTGCTTCACCTGTTTGTCATGCTGTGTTCGTCCATCTTTAATCACTTAAGTTCGTATCTGCTTTCTTAGATGCTAACAAGCCCTTGTGTTGCAAGGCCCTGTGTGTCCAAGAACAGCAGAGAGACGCATCCTGCATTCAGGAACTGCTGCTCTGCCGCCTTCATGGAGGTCCTGCAAAGGTTGGGAAGCGAACAGGTCATGTTAAATATAGGGGCTTTAATAGCTGGAATAGGGTTTCGGGTATATTGTACTACAATCATAATAAGGAACCCCCGAAATAGTATGAGTAGTATGCATTACGGCCATGATCTCGGACAGATTTCGACAAGGCAGGCAAGTCTCCAGGCAAGAAGTGTCCGACGATGGCACCTGCAAGTGCATTTCCAGATTCCGTCTGCTGCGAACCCTGAAAACGAGCATGACTTGTGTGACACGGGGAGTTTGCAGGAATGATGTGAGAGTTGCGGAAACCTGCATCTCCAAGCTTCCTGTAGGCTTCTGAACTCCAGAGTCTGAGACAAGTCCCGTGTAGTCCTGTCTGGCATGGTCTCTGCTCGGCTTGCTGCCATCTCCTGCAAGTCTTTGTGTCCTAGTTGTACTTCAACTTCATGGAACTTCAAAAAGGCTTGTCGGACTTTGGGGCTTCGAACATTGCAGCTTCCGTCAATGCAGCACGCTGACCGAGGCCAAGCGTCCGAAGCAACGTGGACCCAGCATAGTGCTGCCCAGCGAGCACTAGCGCGGGCTTGCCTGAATAGGATGCAAAGCCAAAAGCCATGAGATTGCGGAATACAGAGCCAATCAGTGCACATCTGTTCTTTTCGTCTCAACACCTCGAGTTGCTCACAGTCTGTCAACTAAGCAAAAACTTCGACGACGTGTCAACCAGCTTCTCTCTTGGACTCAGCACAGGTCCTCCTAGCTCGAGCCTGGCTGACATGTGTCCGTGTGGGGCCTCTTCTTTATCTTGTCCAACATTGGCCAATACACGAGCCTCCAATGCCGGACAAAAATGCCTGCGTGCGAAGTAGACACATGCAAAGTCTTGTGATGTGTTGCAGAGGCTTCTCAAAGATAAAGCCGGCACGTATTGCGTGCAAAAGGCCACCAAGGGTTTTACTGGATTCCTTAAGGCTCCACAGCCTGACCCGATCAAGCCTTCTGCACCCTCGAATCCACTTTC